TATGAATATTCACATAAGGTTTTTGTATGGACATGTCTTCAGTTCTTTTGAGAATATAGCTAAGAACTCTTTGCTTAACATTTTGAGGAACTCTACCAAATTACTTTCAAAATCAGCTGCACCATTTAACATTTCCACTAAGAGTGTATGAGAGCTTTAATTTCTCCACATCCTCTCTGATATTTCTTGCTGTCCATCTTTTTAATTATAGCCACCAGAGAAAGTACGAAGGAGTATCTCATTGTGGCTTTGATTTTCATTCTTCTAGTAATACTCTTGAGCATCTTTTCATGTGCCTTTTGGCTATTTTGTTGATAAAATGGAATCTATATTATAAAAAGCCACTGACCGTAACGCCGTAATGACCAAATGACTGGTCACCAGGAGGTGCATTGATGGGTTCGCAGCACGGTGGGTCTGGGGTTCCGCGTGATTTTGTGTGCTGGGCCTCTAGTCCATTATAGGAGGACTTCCACACTCTTATTGTGCATCCACCCACATACCGGCATCTGTGCCCCAATAATCCACCTTACCCTGTGTTACCACAAGTGACCTCTACTCACTCCTGAGGCCAACTCCTCCACTTGTTAACTGGCTGCTGTCCTGTCCACTCACAGTTGGAACCTGAAGAGCCAGCCTTCATCACCCCGAAAAACTCTGCTGAGAAACAGCCCTGCACTTAATCTCATGGGGTTCTCCACTCCCTTCATGATTGAGCATCGCATGATGGCCGATTACGTGACCCTTACCCCAGCAGAGATATTTAAATATTTCCCCAGATGCTCTGCATTCGGGCCCATGGCGGGAGCTCAGAGCATTTTGCAGAATGAATAATATCTGTAGACACAGCCCCAGATCCCAGGTGCATGAGTTTCCAACCCTCTCAGGAAAAGTTTTGCCTCGTGTTTGCTACATTTCTGATGAAAGCCCTGATAAAATACAATCAAGTGTATTGTTGGGCCTATTTCAGGAAAGAAAGGTTATTATGCTTTCGAACCCAACACGTTCACCTTATACTGAGGGGACTTTTTTCACTCCTATAATCACCAAGTACTTTGCTGAGTAATGGGCCCCTTCTGGTTAAAAAGAGAAAAAAAGACAAAATTGACCTTCTGTTCACCCTAAGTCCCTCTGACAAGAATATAAAATATATGGTGCTGCTATAACTGAAATGGGTTTCTAAAGCATTTTCTATCCCATCTGAGGGCAGCCTTCAAAAGATATATGAGGAGAATGCTGCCGATGAATTAAGGTCCTGGGAGGGGAGAAGCTATTAAGCCTGACCCGCTGGTTGGACTCAGCACAGAAGAGCAGTGTCTCAAGGTCAGGCCCACACGATGCATTGCAGACTTCTCATGTGCCCCAGCCTCTGTTTTCTGCTTTTTTTACTCCTCTTTCAACCAAGAAAATCCCCCATGCCAGTTTTCATGCACTTATTCAGGGCACATTTTCCAGATACCCTTACCCCAAAGGTTGATCTGTCATGAGGCCTGAAAGGACAAACACTAACAATTTATCCCTTGCTTCACACAGCCCTCCAGGCTGGGCAAAAGAAGTCCGCTTGCAAAGAGTGCTGACTGTGCGAAGGGAAAGAAAAAAGAACGGTAAGGAAAAAATATAAGAAAGAAATTAAGTGACCTGGTCCGTGTGGCTCAGTGATTGAGCCTCGACCCCTGAAGCAGAAGGTCATGGTTCAATTCCAGGTCAGGTTACATGCCCGGATTATGAGCTTGATCCCCAGTAGGGGGCGTGCGGGAGGCAGCCGATCAATGATTCTCTCTCATCATTGTATCCCTCTCTCCCTCTCCTTTCCTATCTGAAATCAATAAAAACATATTTTAAAAAAAGAAAAAGAAAGAAAGATATTAAGAGGCATATTAACCTTTCAGAGAGGACCCCATGGTAGGACCCCACCAGTGATGCCAGTCCTCCTGGCTGCCAAAACTCCCCTCAGGCCTTGCCCCTCCTCCAGCCCACTCTGCTGCCAGGACCACACAGGTCATGGACTTCAGAGGACGTCTCCACCGCAGCCTCATCACTGCCATCTCCATCTGAGACTGCAGTGGCCAACGGAGTGGGTGAAGCTGCTGTGGCACAGGCAGCATGCACGCAAGCAGGCGGCTGCCGACTCCTTGTACCAGGCAGAGTAGGCAGCATGTTCTGTCTTCCTGAAGAGCAGTGCGAGTTATAGCAACTGGTCGAATGTTCAGACACTTAGCATATTAGGCTTCTATATATAGAGACTAGAGGCCCGATGCACAAAATTTAGTGCAAGGGGCTTGGCCCCAGCTGCCATGGCAGCTGCCTCTGTCCTGGTCCCCGCACACTACGGCTTCATCTGGAAGGTCGTCCAGAAGGACGTCTGGTCTAATTAGCATATTACATCTTTTTTATTATAGATAGTTGATATAATTACATGATGTTGCACTGTAAATTTAGCCTCATGGCATGGATTTCATAGACCATTCGCTTTCCTTCCTGTTAGTTTAAATTTTTCTTGAGTAGTAGCCATGCAATACAGCTTACGTTCAAATTATTTATATCTTATTGTATCATAGATTATGAAGCTAAAAGTATATTTTAATGACTTGTGTTCCATTTTTTAAAATTGGTCAGCTTACGTTCAAATTATTTATATCTTATTGTGTCATAGATTATGAAGCTAAAAGTATATTTTAACGACTCGTGTTCCATTTTTTAAAATTGGAGTGTATCACTCTACTAGTGACCAAAATCCAAATGTAGTTTTTCCTACATAAACATGTGTTAGTAAAAAGTATAGAAAGTACTTATTTTGCATAGTATCTTCCAGATATAGGCCAAAATAGTTAAATCAAACCTTTTATAATTTCAATTATTACCAGCATGTTTAGAACTACACCATTATTTTTCATTAACTTCAGAGAACTACATTGCACAGGTCTAGTACCATCACTTATTTAAGCATTCTGGGTTTTTCTAGTCCTTCATAAACAAGGTAAGATTGCACATTTTTTGACACTCCACCTATCTCACTCACAACCTGACCGTCTGCTCTATTTCCTCCTTATCTACCATCGTCCCTCCTCGCGGCCCTCACCCTGAACTGCCTGATCCTGTCTAACGCCTCTGTTCCTGTCCACACCCAGTGTCCAGCTGCACTTCTTTTACATTCTTCTCCCATAGTCCCATCCCGACTGCCCAGCCGCTTCTAACTCCTCAAGGACACGGGGTAAAACTGTACGGCCCAGGTGGCACGCAGATGGCAGGATGTCCCCATGGAGTGGAGTCCACCTGGCTGAGCGGAGTCCACCTCCCTGTGACTGGCCACCATGGGGGTCATTGTTGTACTTCATCTCCAGGCCCAGATAAGCGACAAAATCAGCCTCAGGACTAGCAACCTGGAATAATGACCTGCCCTGGTGCCAGCCAGTCAATCAGTGGAGACCACAACCCTGCGAGGACGCACCTGGAAAACTGCGGAATATTCTATTGAGATCTTTCCCTGGGACCTTCCATAAAATCTCTGCCCTGAAAACCCTTAGGATGGAGGACCCAGCACACTCCCCCTCCTGGCAGCAGGCCTGTGACTTTCCTTTCCCTTCCCCTTCACACCCCTGTCTCCCTCTCCCCCCCACCACCACTCTCCTCCGACCAGTCACATGACCATTAGCTTCCAAGGGCCCTTCCTTTACCTCTAGAACTTGTTTCCTAAGCCCATTCTTTGAGGAATTACTTTTTCTACCTCTGTAACTTACCCAATAAATGTTCTCTTTAAAAAAAAAAAAGATTGTATATTTTTACACATATACATCTTTGAGCAGGCCTGTGACTTTCTTTTCCCTTCCCCTTAACACCCCTGTCTCCCCCCCTCGCCTCCCCCCTACACTCTCCACGCACCAGGGGTATTTTATTTTACCTTTTTTTTATACATGCAGTCAAATTGCCTTCCCAAAGGACTGTACTAGCTTATGCTCCCACAGCAATGGAAATGCTTTTATACCCAACACCTCCATTAACATTAATCTCAAAAACTGTCATTGGAAGAGTTTGAAATTAATGGCCAAAGGTGGCTGCTAAATTACTTGTGAAGTTTAACCACGTTTGTTTGTCTCCATCTTCTACAAATAATAGCTTACCTCTGAATACATTTGGAATCAATAAAAATAATAATAG